GCCGCATACGATCCATTGTCATGGTCACGACAAGTTCAGTCGGTTGCGCGCTGTCAGTCACCTCATTTTTCCGCCCATCGTGAAGCATTCCAGCCTCTTTCATTTATTCCAACCGAGCGCGACCAGTGCGGAAAATGTAACGGCACGCAATGCGAGTACAGTCGACAAAGTTGCAACAACTACCGCCGAATCAAGCGCTTGTGCTACAACAACGGCAACAATAGCGAGTCCAGATTCAGTTGCTTCCAGCGGAACGAGTAAAGCGCCTACTACTGCTACTACTACGAGCGAGTGCAGCGAGCAAACGCCTCAAGCGACTGTCGCGTCGCGCATCGCTTCCGTGGATGAGTCAATTAAAACGACAGTTACCGATTTAACAAATCCAGCACCAACGCCGCAGTCCAGAGCGCAGCCACCGCCTCCAACAATAGATGCACGTTTGAGTTAGGCGCTGAGAGGAGGAGGACTGAATGTAGGTACTGACAGGCATTTGTTTCCATATTTTTTTTTAATTTAGTTATACGATTTTATCGATAAGGGATTATTAATTTAAATTACTATATACATAAATAACTATTAGATGAATACATGCCATAGGAGTGTATGTACAAACGGGCATATGTTTGTACGTTTAGTTTTACTGTTATTTTATAGTTGTAAACGAATACTCATTCTAAGTGTACTGGTATGTAGTTAATGTAGTTTTTAATTATTTACCTTCATGTGTGTGTGTGTGTGTGCATACATATATACTACATGCATATTTATTACTAATGTATGTACATACATACATACATACATATTTATATCAATGTAAGGATTGGTATTCATGCATTTGGTGCGAGTTTACTAAGAATTTGCATACGGCAATTAATTGAATAAAAAAAAGGCTTTCAAATGGCATTGAAATGTAAATGAGGTCTGCGTGTGCTAATAATTTTTTAATCTTAAAATTAAGAAAAATACTTACATCACCACCCAGTGTATGAATTGAATGTAACACAGGAAAAATCAAGCAGGAAAAACTTTAGGCAAGAAAAACCGGCAAAGCTTGGTATTTGATAATGTTAATGTTTTAAATCCCATAGCTGTCAATTGTAAAAATAAAAAGAACTTTTTTCGAAATATAAAATTTATGATTTTTTTATGCATATGTAATTTTATATCGAGGTTTATCATATAAAAAAAAAATCAATGCAGATTTTAATTTATCCAACCCATATTCGGCCGCCAGTCGATTTTTCCATCATCAACTTTGAAAGCCGATATCTCTGGAGTTAAGTTTTATTTTTTGATCTGTTTTCACAAAAATTTAATTTCAATGAACAAACAGGAAAAAAACTGGTTTTATTTTCAATTGTATACGATGACAAAAAACCAAGTAAAATGCACCTCACTCGAGACTTCCTGATCTGACGAAGCGATGGATAACCAGCTGTCTGTATGGACGCCAATCATCGGTCGAATTCCGAAACGTCAAGTCGAAGTCACAAGGAAAAACTCCCTCCCCCGCCAGCTGGAGGTGACTTGCTGATGATTACACGAGTATGGCAACGGGCCCTAACATCGACAGCCTTTGTGGGAAAATCACTGACTATCTCACGGATCTTGCAAATTTATTCACTGCCTCGAGCTTCACCATCTCCGCCGCGAAATCCAGCGCCACACGTTTATCACCTGGACTAAGGAGGTCAGGCTGTAACTAGACGTCCACGTTGATGGCAACAGAATACCGACGGTCAACCTTCCCAAATTCTTGGAACTCACGTTCGATAGCCTTTTCTCCTCTTCGGCGCACACCGCAGCCACCTGCGAAAAAAATGCGAGCTAGAAACAAAGTCCCCAAGTCACTAGCCGGCAGCTCTTGGGGAACCTACAATAAAACCATGCTCACCATGTACAAAGCAATCGGCCGGTCGTTGGCAAACTACGGCAATCATCAGCTATACACAGTGGAGCAATTTACAAACCTGCCAGAATGCAGCTCAACGCACGGTTACAGGTTGCCATCGCATGTCATCCGAGTATCACCTCTACCAAGAAAGCCAGATGCTGAAGGTGAAAGAGCATAACACCTCTTCGTGCCATCGTGAAAATTACCCCAACAACGCCCTGCTTCGAAACGATCCGAAACGACAATATCGTCCCAGGCGGTCCCTAGTCGCCCATTAACATCGATGAAGCGGAACTGTCGAGAGAGATCAGGTTCACCCTAGCTCAACTCCGTTATGGGTGGTATCACGGACTAAATGGCTATCTCTCTCGGCTGAACCCAGAAGTGGCCGAAACCTGCCCAGACTGCGGGAAAGGTAAACAGAACACCCAACACCTCTTCGTATGCAGCTCTAACCCGACGACTCTGACACCAGAAGCACTATGGACGACGCCTATCGACGCTGCCCGCTTTCTTGGCCTCAGGCTTGTAGAGTCAGGGGATGAAGACGACCCATGGCAAGCAGTTTCTTGTTGGGAGCCAAAGACGTGGACACCCAAATGGGCAACTGCTTGGAGAAGAGCCCTCGCCCAGACACGTCAGGAGGCATCTCTACGAACTGACGGACGAAGTCCAGAGGTTCATCAAACAATCTCTGCACCCATCAGCTTATCGACAGGCCTTGAGCGGCATTCACAGGGAGTCAGTCTCGAGTTACGTAGACTCCAGACCTGTGAATGCCGTTCTAGGAGACAAGAACCACAATAGGCCAACTTCGCTCTGGCTACTGCAGCAGGTTAAACTCATACCTGAGCAGACTACACGCAGATTTGCCAAATGAGTGTCCGGCATGCGGAGAGACACCTCATGACTCGAAACATCTTTTCGTATGCCCGGAAAACCTGACAACCCTAATGCCTTTGTCCCTTCTTGAGTACTGCTGCCACAACAACAATAACAACACACTACGCCCTATTCTCGCAAGTGCGATTTGCTACATTGGGCTGTATTTATGAATAATGCTGCATTTTTAATTTTGCGGATTCAGTAATAGTATTTCCACGGATTTCAGAAAAAATCTATGAACGAGGAATTCAGAAATTGCTCATAAAATCGCTTGTAACTTGTGTGAACATGCCATAAGAGAACATGTAAAACATATCATGATTTGCGACTCGGAAATGACTGCATTCCATTTATATATTAAAGTTTTGGTACGAAAAATATCTCGCCAAGACTTTCATTTATCATCTTTGCTGACTTTATGAAAAACAGAAATTTTCGTAAAGTACGTATATCAGTTTCATTTTATTATACAACTAAACACTATTGTGAATGGTTCGAGAATTTGACAGTTGCGCCGGCGACGACTACTTTGCGCTGTCAAAACAAATCCAATTTCACGTGTGGCAGAACGAGGTGCACGCCGATTTAAAATATTTTGTGTTTTATGAATTAAATAGAGCAAAAGAAGTAAAGCATTAGCAGAAATAAATAAAAAATGTCTTCCTCATTCTTTCTTAAAAAGGAACCTAAGGCGAATAAAAAACGAAAGGTAAGCAAATACATATACGATGAATACCCCCAAACGTATCAATATTGTTATCCTTTGGTCCGCGATTATAGCTTTCAAAAGATCCACGAGCAACAGGTGCCAAAAAAAGAAGTGACAAGAAACAGTCAACAAGCAACCCACCACCAGCACGTAAGCGACCGCAGAAGGACGATGAAGAAATCGCCAGCGATGATGAGTTCGGAAGCGGCGAAGGAGATGCCACAAATTTGGTTTTCTCATCAGATGAGGTGGAAGAGGAGACACCACAAGACAAACGATTGCGTTTAGCGAAACAATACTTAGAAGAAATTGAAAAACAAGAAGCGGAGCGTGTGGAAGATCGTGAATTACATGACCACGTAGCACAGCGCCTACAGTCAGAGTACCTTGACAGCGTGGGGAAATTGCGGCGGAATATAGCCGGCACTATTGAAGATTATGATGCAGAGAATGTGGTTGTGCTTAAACATAAAAAGCAACATCTACCAATGTGCGCGTTTGCCGTCTCACCTGATGGTAAATATCTATTTAGTGGCGCTAAAACACAATTCGTGCTGAAATGGAGCGTACAAGGTCAAGTAAAGCTGGAAGGGTTATTTAACGTACAACCACACAACGAAGATGAGAAAAGCGATACGCAGCGTCGGTCACACGTTACGGCAATATGTTTATCGACTGACATGAAATACTTAGCTCTGGCCGAAGGTGGTCGAAACATACAGATTTGGTGCCCCAAGGATCTAACACACTTAAAATCGTTCAAGGGACACAGAGATGTAGTTACCTCGCTCGTCTTCCGAAAGGATACACATGACTTGTATTCGGGCTCAAAGGATAGATCAGTGAAAATTTGGTCGCTCGACGAAATGGCCTATGTGGAAAGCCTGTGAGAAAATACATTGCAATTTAAATGTTGTATACTTGAAACGAGTTTTTATTACAGATTTGGTCATCAGGCGCCCATTACAAGCATAGATGCGCTGAGTCGTGAACGTGCAATTACCTCAGGAGGCATCGATTGCTCATTACGTATATGGAAAATTACTGAGGAATCACAACTGATCTACAACGCGCACCAAAATGGCATAGAGTGTGTTAAATTTATAAACGATGAAAATTTCGTTTCCGGAGGCGAAGATGGGTAAGAAGTAGACATACAGACTTCTTTATTTATCATTTTATTAATTATCTTTATATTTTATTCAGTTCACTCTGTCTATGGAGCGCATTAAAAAAGAAACCGCTCTGCACAGAAGCGCTGGCGCACGGTACCCAGAGCAATGGAGTGCCCAACTGGATAACGGCAGTAGCTTGTGTGGTGAATACAGACTTATTAGCATCAGGTAATAACGAGCTGGCAACAAAAAGAAATTTATTACTTAAGAGGTGTTGGTATATTTTTAGGTTCCTTTGATGGTTACATTCGTCTGTGGCAGTCCCTTGACAATTCACGAAAACTTAAACAAATTTTTAAAATTCCTGTGCCGGGTTTCATAAACGCCTTAGCGTTTAATAGTAATGGCACGAAATTATTCGCAGCCGTTGGTCAAGAACACAAATTAGGCCGTTGGTGGCGAATCAAGGAGGCGAAAAACAAGATTATCATCATTGATTTTATTACAACTTCTACAAAGGCTAGCTTAATTTGAAGAAGTAACTAAACACACTCGTAAATTAACGCTTTTAATTAAATGCCTGATTTATTTTTAAAGAAAGCGCCTGGGTTCCGCAATGCGCGTGTTAAATATTAAATGTTAAAGCTAAGTTAAAAATATGAAGAGTTTTACAAATAAACAGTTTTGTAAAAATATGCCAAATGAATATCGTTGGAATGCATTGCTGAATCTCGATAAACTAAAATGAAAGGAAGTTGATACGTCCACTATCGCTCATTAATTATTATCGCCTACTACGTCGGCTATGGTGGCCACAAGACGTCGGGAATGCTCCACAGCACAAGTTGCCGTAACTAAACCCAAGTGTATACAGAAGAGTTCGTAGCATTTAATTTTACCTGGAGCAGACTTTGGAAAGCACACTTCAGTAAGTTGTTGGTAGTAGTCTGCTGCAAGCAAACCTGGTTCGAAGTGAGGTTTAAATGCATTACTTGACGATGCCGAAGCGACGATATATTGCTGCAGGTCGACTAGTTTCATATGACCACCCGATTGATCTTCAAACCAAAGAAAATATGAGTAATTAAATACTTTATCTTTCCACATAACAGTAGAGTGGCCCTTCTTTAAGTAGTTACGGGAGAGTTCAACCATCGACCATAAACGCTCTTTAGAAGACAACTGATTAGCGCGCAAATCGGGCGCAATCATGAGACCAGTTGTGCGATTAACATATGCAAAATGGATGAGTCCTTGAAGTATATGAAAATATTTAGTGCTAATTATTAAAAACTGATTTAAAAGTTACCAGGAAAGTCTTCCAAATAGGCTTCAATTGATATATTGCGTTCTGCCTTAACAGCTAAAAATTCTGTAATCTCCAGCATCTTTCCTTCAACTAAGGATGCCACCTCAGGCAACTGATCCAAAGCAATCGACGAACTGTCGCAGCAAGTTAAAGTAAACAACTGTTTTAATTCATCCATGAATGCTGGCACATTGGACTCAATCCTCACTAACAGCTCTCGCTCCACCGAACGGAAAAAATCTCCGTACATTTTCTTTAAGTTTTCCCATTTAGTAACAAACTTTTTCAGTGAAGTATCCAATTCATCACCTTTTAACTTGGAACGTTTTAGTGCATCCAATGTCTGCTTAACAAATGATTCTAAGCTTTCATAAGTGGGCCTCATTGCATCCGAGTCACCTTGTACTTGCAACGTTATTATCTTCTGGAGTACGAAGAACGTATCGTACATACTGCTTGCAACTTGTAGATTAGCGTATTCGATCACCTGCACCAATAAGATACCTTTGGCAAGTTGCGACAGATGCGCAATACAGGGCACACATCCAGAATGGGGATCATGTGATGCGCCCTGCAAAAACACGGCCACGGAACGGTTGAGTGGTCGCCGATCACGTTGTAGAGAACGCGCAAGCAACGACAAAAATACCAAATC